CAGGATGAAATGATCTTGATGCCTTTAATTGTACTTTTCTTGGGATAATTAGCCCTTTGTTCCGTTGAGAATCCAGCAGGACTAGGTGGTGCAGAGCAATACTTAGATAACATCTTTGCATCTCTTACTGGTTTCATTATTTGTGAATAAGTAAATTCAAATAATGTGATCTTATTGTTCATCATGCAGTTATTTGGTCATGTTTTCTTGTTAATTATACTCTAGTAATGATGCTCTTCTAGGTATTTGTATTACTCTTTTGAATTGGACATTTCTTAATTTAGGTTTGGCACCACTTCTTCAAATCCTGGATCAGATTCATCAAATAAAGCAGAGGAAGTGAAGAGGAAGGCTAGGGCAGAGAGGTAAGCTACTTGTATCCATTATGGTATGTTTGATTGCAAGAAATATAATAAAAGTTGCTGCTTAATGATTTCCATGGGGGTCATTTTTGAATAATATAGTGTCTAATGTTAAAAACGGAAACAATGGAAATTTGTTCATGAAGAATGATTTTCCCTTTCAAAAGGGGAAGTTATTCCCCATACATTTAAGAATATGTTCGCTATTGCCAATGAAATTGAAAATGATAATGAAAAATATGAGTAATGTTTTAAAAACTTTTGTTTACATATGTTCAGACTTCAGATTTCAATGTCTATGTACAAGGAACGTATAGATTAGATGAGTAGATGGCTTAACAAAATAAATTTACTGAGCTTCAGAAAATGTTTTGTTTACCCTCGCATTTTCTTTCCTTCCAAATTTCCCTTACATTTTCCTCCATGTCTTTCTTTTTTGTTTTCCGAGTTCCAATGGACCTTAAAACAACTGGATTCTATTTTCCTGAAGCAAAACACGGATCCATTGTCTATTTTTCTGTAATTGTATATTGTATTCATATTACTAGTGTTGTTTGTGGTTGAGTTCTCTATCATGCTCTTAGGTTTGGGCTTGAACAAGTTGCCCCAACGGACGAGGAAGCAAAAAAGAAAGCAAGGCTTGCAAGGTTTGCGCCAGTCGCAAAAGTTGATCCTGTGGAGGAAGATAAAAAGAAAGCAAGAGCTATGAGGTTATTCAAAAGCTATTTTTGGCTGTTTTAACTTTTAAGTCACTACAGTGGAAGCGTTTTTTGTTGAGAAAAATGCACTTTAGTCTTTATGTTCTGAGTTTTGACCATATAGTTGATTCAGTACCTATGTATTCATGTTTCATTACTAGTCTCTATATTTAGGTTGAAGTAGCAGGTTTTTACCTCTTTTCCAATTATCACTTTGATCCAAAATGAAAATGCTATTTCATGGGATTTAGTCCTTATTGTACATTCTCAAAACTGTTTTATACGTAGTAGAACATTTGTATAATATCAAAATTAATGAGTTATTAAATAGTTTTTAGAATAAGAGGGGTAACAGATGCACTTTTCTTCCCCTAAACATTAGGAAGGATTAGGGCATGGCATGTTGAATAAATCTATATAACTTTTCAGGTTTTCACAATCTGAGTCTGATGCTCCATTGCAAACAAATGGAAAAGGAAAGCCTGAGGTGATATTTTTGTATATCAGGCAAACTTACAATTTTCTCTGGATTTATGACTCATCTGTTCCTTACTTGAGCGCTATTTCACAGGGGGGAACTGTTTCTGGGGAGGCAGGAGAGACCTGAATTATGTAAGATGTAGTTCTAAAGTAAGTTTGCAGTTCTGATCCAACCATGAGACACATAAAATTCTGCAAACTTACTTTTATTGGTTGCTATTTTTTAGTCTTATATTCTCCTTGAGCTGTAATATAACATTCTTACTTTTTGGTTCTTTGCCTTGTACTTTTTTGGGATAATTCGGTTTTCCCTTTCTTTTTCAGGCTAGCAGGTTATGAGTCTGACATCTTGCAACTTGACTAATAGCTTTTTAGGACAATGGCGAGGAAAGTTTTCCTCAAGTATTCGAAGTGGTTCTTGTCTACATACAACATATATTTTTGTTTTTTTTTTTTCCAGTGAGCCCTCGGACTGTTGGAAGCAACCTCTGTAGTACGTGTATCTTCTCAAATGGCCAGAACAATGTAAAAAATGCAGGCTTAAAAATTTTGTAGTTCAAGAATCTATGGTATATTCGTATCGCAATACAAGCTTGATTTCCTAAAATCTTTTCTCACTTCTTGATATTTATTTGCTTAAACATAGATGCTAAGAATCTAATTTCAGGACATTCAAAACACGTGATGCATGTTTAATGGTGAAAATGAGATCTTGAAATCTTGAAAACCCGGCTTATAGGTGTAGGAACAATATTTTCAACTTGAGGTATCGGTAAAGCGTGGAAGACCAGCAAATATAAATCATAAACAACTTTTTCTTGCATTAGTTGATCGAGTAGGATTAGCTTGTACTCTGGACTTATCTTGTTGCAACTTTCAACCATGCTTTTACTATCCTATTTTGAATCTATATATAGCCTTGAAGAGAATACTAATATAGTGAGATTTAGTACTGGTATTCCAATCTAAATTTCGTAGAAGTGGATAGGAAAATGAACTCATCTTATTTGGGTTGAAGGTGACTTAGTAGCAGTCTATTATGATACTAGGATTGACATTGTGAAATGGCCATTTTAAGAGAATTTGATGCTAAGGAGGTGCTGTCTGACTGAGTGAATTCTGTGCGGTCACTGGAATTTAATACTACGTTTATTGTTGTATGTATTGGAACAAGTGCAAGACACGAGTATGTAATCTTGATGCTTTGAGCTTGTCCTTTGAAGTGCTAGCTACTATGTCCTGTTGTTAATGTCTTCCACCTCTCTCTGTTCGCAATGCTTCTGCATAATTTCTTCTGATGAGTGATAACATCTCATGAGACCGTTCATTATCTGCTCATAATTTTCTCGTATTTAAACTTAAGCACTGCAAGGTTTTGAATGTCGTCGGTAAACGTTTTATAACTAGGGCTGGACTCGGTTCGGGCCGGGCCCGGTTCGGGCCTTGAACCGGCCGGGCCTCGGTTCACCAATAGGAGGGCCCGGGCCCGAACCGGCGGTGACCGGTTCCGGGCCGGTTCCGGGCCCGACCGGGCCGGTTCCGGGCCGGTTCACCCGCCCCTATTTTTTTTTTAAAATTTTTGGCTTCTTTTATTTAACCCTCTACCCCTCCTCCTCAACCCCAAACCACCCCAAACCACCTCAAATGGCCCAAAATAACTAATCCAACCCAAAAATTAAAAAAATTTCAAAAAAAAAAAATAAAAAAACAATTATTCCGGCCCGGACCGGGCCCGAACCGGCCGGGCCGGTTCACCAAATGGAGGGCCCGGGCCCGGAACCGGTATCCACCGGGCCGGTTCAACCCGAACCGCCGGTGGACCGGGCCACCGGGCCGGGCCGGTTCGCACAGTAACCGGGCCGGGCCGGTTCCGGTTCGGGCCGCCCGGCCCGAGTCCAGCCCTATTTATAACTCTCTTTTTCGAGACTGAACGTGTTATCAGGTTTTTGGGTTCAACTCTCTCTTGTCAGCTATCACATGATTAGTGGTGGGCCCGGGCCGGGCCTAGGCCCGACCGAGACGCCGGTTAGGAAATGTTGGGCCCGGGACCGGCCCGGGTACCCACCGGGTCCGGGCTGGGCCTCTAACATTTTTTTCCCTTTTTCTAAGGGTAATTCTATACACAGCCTCCAAATTGCTATTCACAGCCACAATATTAAATCTTAAAAAATAAAAATATTTCAATCCCTAAATCACCCCTAAAGCAAATTACTCACCCGTCGTCACCAACCGCACTCAAGGCTCCCAAACACTGCGGCACCGTGTATACTAGGGCTGGACTCGGTTCGGGCCGGGCCCGGTTCGGGCCTTGAACCGGCCGGGCCTCGGTTCACCAATAGGAGGGCCCGGGCCCGAACCGGCGGTGACCGGTTCCGGGCCGGTTCCGGGCCCGACCGGGCCGGTTCCGGGCCGGTTCACCCGCCCCTATTTTTTTTTTTTTTAAATTTTTGGCTTCTTTTATTTAACCCTCTACCCCTCCTCCTCAACCCCAAACCACCCCAAACCACCTCAAATGGCCCAAAATAACTAATCCAACCCAAAAATTAAAAAAATTTCAAAAAAAAAAATAAAAAAACAATTATTTCGGCCCGGACCGGGCCCGAACCGGCCGGGCCGGTTCACCAAATGGAGGGCCCGGGCCCGGAACCGGTATCCACCGGGCCGGTTCGACCCGAACCGCCGGTGGACCGGGCCACCGGGCCGGGCCGGTTCGCACAGTAACCGGGCCGGGCCGGTTCCGGTTCGGGCCGCCCGGCCCGAGTCCAACCCTAGTGTATACCATCGTCCTACTCCTGGCCAGGGAGAATTTCCGGTTGTGCGATATACTATGTATCTATATGTATATATACTCTGAAATCTAAAATCATCATATTGATTGGAACGGAGTAGTCCTGGACTCGGGCCGGTTCGGGCCCGGTTCGGGCCTGGGCCCGGCCGGGCCTCGGGCCAGGAAATGGGAGGCCCGGGCCCGAACCGCCGGTGGCCGGTTCCGGTCCCGGTTCCGGGCCAAACCGGGCCGGGCCGGGCCGGGCCGAACCGGCCCACTTAATTTTTTTTTTTTTGTTCTCCTATTTAATCCCCTACCCCTCCCCCTCAACCCCAAATCACCCCAAACCACCTAAAATGGCCCAAAATACCTATTCCAACCCAAAACTTTAAAAAAATTTCAAAAAAAAAAAAAAATTAAATCCGGCCCGGACCGGGCCGGTTCACCATTTGGGAGGCCCGGGCCCGGAACCGGGAACCACCGGGCCGGTTCGACCCGAACCGCCGGTGGACCGGGCCACCGGGCCGGGCCGGTTGCTACAGTGGCCGGGCCGGGCCGGTTCCGGGTCGGGCCGCCCGGCCCGAGTCCAGGCCTAGAACGGAGGATCAATTGAGAAAAGCTTTCTGCAATCTCTTAATTGATATTTGTGTGAGTCTAAATTGAAAAAGCCTGTGAGTTGCCTGGGAATAAAATTCGGACCATATCTAAAATCTAATTTGACTTTGGGTTGAAGAAAATAGCCACTGAGTTTCAATGACCACACATGGTGCCCTATGTATCTCCTCTAATCTAGGATTGGATCGTATCTAACACCGGAAGCTGTCTCTGTTCATTGCAAGTATCTGATAGCTCTTAAGCCTGCGACCGACAGAGTTTGTTCTTCATTGATTCAAGGAAGTTTCACTGTGTCCTCATTGTCTTCAAGGTCACGCCGCATGTACATCTGTTTTGGGCCTGTCAGACGAGGTTTTCTTGAGGGTTGTAGGAAGGTTACTGGCTTGGACGGTTGCTTCTTAAAAGGACAACTAAAGGGAGAGATATTAACTGCAGTTGGGAGGTATGTGAATAATCAAATGTACCCAATAACTTGGGCTGTGGTTGAGATAGAGAACAACTCTTCTTGGCTTGGTTTTTAGACCTTATTGACAACATATTTGCGTATTACTAACCCACATTTGTGGACTCTAATTAGTGATCAACAAAAGGTCAGTCCTTATAACATGAAATATTTCAATACATTATGATATTCAACTGCATATTTACATGACTTTCATCCTATTTATGTAGGGTCTTTCAAATGTCATAGCTAATGTATTCCCTGAGGTTGAGCATAGAAACTGTGCTAGGCACATACATGCGAATTGGAGCAAATCACATAGGGGCATGCTCATGAGGAAATTGTTTTGGAAGTGTGCCAAGTCTACATGTGATGCACAGGTAAAGGATGCATTAGCAGAACTAGACAAGGCAGACAGTGAAGCTGGAAAGGACTTGAGGAAATATCCATTGCACTTATGGTGCAAGGCATATTTCAGAAGTGAAGTGAAATGTGATACAGTAGACAACAACTTGTCTGAGGCTTTCAATAGAAGCCTCATCAAATGCAGAAGTAAGCCACTGATTCCCATGCTTGAGGAAATCAGAGTTGCATGATGAAAAGAATAGCCAAAAAAAAATATGTGGATAAAGGGCCTGATAAGCTGTTTAATATTTCATATGACACTCATGTTCACTTGTTAAGCCTCTGAAACTGTTACATACTATGTCTGTATTTGTCAGGTAAGTTTGGACCAATAATTATGAAGAAACTGAATAAAAATGTTCTAGCTAGCCAAGGGTGGCATGTGGACTTCAATGGTGATGATGGATACGAAATTAAAAAAAGGAAGATAACAGTTCAATGTCAGCCTTAATAGTAGAACATGCTCTTGCAGAAGGTGGGATCTGTGTGGTATTCTTTGTGCACATGCTTTATGTGCCATCTTTGATAACGGATGGGAACCAGAAGACTATGTTCACAGTTGCTACTCCAAAGAGATGTACAAGAAGACTTACTCATATACCCTTCCACCAATTAATGGAGAGCTCTTATTGACAAGAACTGAACATGAAGAAATTATGCCTCCTTTGCCAAGGAAGATGACTGGCAGGCCAAAGAAGAAGAGGGTAAGAGAAGAGACTGAAAAACCAGCTTCAGGTTCACATCTTAGTAGAAAAGGAAGAATTATGACATGCTCCAATTGTAAGGTCGAATGACATAATAAATCTTCTTGTCCTAACATTGAAGTTCACACTGAGGTGCCTGCACAGGGAAGAGGTCAAAGGGGAAGAGGTGGGAGGGGAAAAGGAAAAGAAAATGGTACTCAGGGAAGTGAGGTTTCTGGACATGGAAGAGGTGGGAGGGGAAGAGGAGGGAGGGGAAGAGGAGCATCAAATACTAGTGAAGTTTACTGTGAGGTGCCTGCACAAAGAAGAGGAGGGAGGGGAAGAGGAAGTGGTAGTGAAATTCACTCTGAAGTTTCTGGACATGGAAGAGGTGAAAGTGGAAGAGGGGGAGGGGAAGAAGGGGGAGGTGGTAGGGAGAGAACACAAAGGGGATTTGGGCTATACTTTGATGCCAGTACGGGTGAAACATTGCTAGATGTAAGTTTATGTTACTATATGTCTTCAATTTTATCTGTTATGTTACTATAAATCAGGATTTGTATGCAAATTTTACCTCTTTGCAGTCTGGACAAGCAAGTGAAAGAGTTGTTGGTGGAGGGAGTCCATGAAGTGTTTCAAATGAAGTGAAGTGTTGAAGATTTCTTGTGGATGTTTTTAGAGTTTAGTCTGTTTTTTTAATATTTTATGTTGGCCTTTGAACTGTGGTTATTCACGCAGATGGGTGGGGCATGTGTTGTCCTTTTTGCCTTTAAAGTGGGTTGTTGTGCCCTTTAAAGTTGGCTTTAAACTTCCCTGTAAGCTTTTTTGTTGTATGTTAGATGTCAGGTCAGATTCAATGTGCTGTCCGGTCTTTACAGTGACCTTTGAACCTAGACATCATGTATTTTGTTTGGATGTTGAATTGTTGTTATATATTCAAACCTTTTTGGATGCTAACTTTGTTGTTAATTGTGGTTATGATGTTACATTTTTTGATGTATTAAACTTTGTTGTACATAAAAGAGCTAGCATCCCGAGGGCCTGAATGCTCTGTTATTCAAATTGTTAACTTTCTGGATGCTTTTCTTTGTTATACAGCAGAAATATAATTGGTTTATTACCAGGCTGTTGTACACACTAAACCCAACCAAATTTTTGTTTATTACCAGAAATTTTCTTTGTTACATTTTATTGTTAATTGTTGTACACAGGCTGTTATGTTGTGGTTTATTACCATTTTTCTGGTTTGTTACACTTTTCTTGGTTTACCATTACCATCCAAAAAACAGAAGCATGTGAAAGTGTTCTGATACAAACTATGTATTGAGTAATAACAGAAGCATGCAAATGATTTTTGTATTGAGTAATAACAATAGTACAGGACATAACACAACACATGTGAACCCTTTCAATACATCAATAATTACTCCTACTTTATTATGTAATGGTTGTACCAACATGTACTACATGTTAACCCTGTCAATACATCATAGCTAGCTCGGGTCCTACAATTACAAAGTAGTCAACTTCCAATAAACCATCCCCAGTAAACCAACTACAACAACCAAACTAAACCCAACCAACTTTCTAAAGACTCTAGTGTCCTTTGCTTGTGTAGTTGTGTTTGAACTAGTTTCCTAACACCATTCACTTGGACTTGTATAGCACTTAGTTGTTCATCAACTCTGTTTTCAAGTCTTGAAACCATAGCTTTCAATTCGTCTCTGTTTTCATTCATCCCAGCCAGGTTATTTACCCCTCTCGTTTCCATAGCATCCACCCAAACAAAATATCTGCACCCAGAATTATGCACCTGTTAAATGTTAACAAGAGTTTTCATAACTATACAACCATCTTATACACCCAAACGAAGCCAATTAAACATTACCTTCCATTTTTGACACCCATAGAACTTACTGCCACTCTCTCGCGAAACACACAGGGGGCTTTCAGTAGATGGACTTGATTGACTTTTTGTCTGAAGTAGGTGGACCAATATGACAGTTTTCCCTTAAAGTTTTCATACTTTTTATTGGTAAAAAAAAGGGGGAAAAATATTGGTATGCTTTGTTAGAGTTTGCTTGGTTTTCAAAATATTTATTTTCATTTTTCATGGCTTTAGTTGATTATATTGAATTTCTCTGTTTTTTTAGCGCATCTTTATGATCAATGACAATTTTGAGTTTGAGTGGCGGCCCCTGATTCAAATTATAATTACTTTTATTATTAGGGTGATTGTTGATTTGATTTGATTTGATTTGAGATTGAAAACAATTCAAAAGAAAACATCTTAAATCGTTGAACATGTCTATCAATTATTTCTAATCTCTATACACTTATGATGTTTTTATTTGGATTTATTTTAGTCAAAGACAAGACAAGACAACATCAGCATAGACAGATCAGACTTAGATAGGCCAGATTTTGACATTTTTATAAAATAAACACAGAATTTCCATTTATCACATCATATCTATTCAGATAAAATGAAACTTAGGGGGTGTTTGGATCTGATTCTCAAAACTTATTCTGCTCCTTCATGAAGCAGAAGCTGAAACTGAAGTGTTTAGGTGAAATTCCAGAATCTGGAGGTCTAATTTACTCTCAGAATCATTTTTTTTAAAAGCTGGGGATACCCGTTTGTGAAAACTTATTCTCTGCACTTTTAAACATGCGAAACCCATCCTCAAAATTTAAATAAAAACTTTAAGAAGGCCTATTCAACTTGGATTTGACGACAGCATTCTTCCCTCGCTTCTTCCTCTGGCCAGGCGAGTCGAGAAGAAAGCATGTCACAGGATTCATACCTTCTCCTACTCCACTTCGAAACAACTCAACAATCAATCGGTAAGATCATTTGTAGTACTGTTCCTCGCGACTTGGTAATGACAACTTTCTGACTTATTTCGATAGGTTGCAAAACTCGCATTCATTAAGCGCGCATACCGTTGCTATATTGATTTGGATGACATAATTCACTCAAACGTTTATTACTACATAAACTAAACCTTTTGGGGGATGTAAATCATGGTCTCATTGCCTCATTGGACATTTAGAATAGTTTTATGTGGTTTGAGGCAATCTAAATTATTGATGGGAGGGTGAGGTTTTGATTCCTTGGAAACGTGTATCTGTTTTCTTTATTTTGCCTAGCATTCATGAATGTCACTCTTCCTATTTGACCTTCACTTAAATTCTAAATTCTTAATGTTAAACTTCTTTGAACAAATATAGTCAGTCGTCATTTTTCCTATCATTATCTTTCTTAGTGTACTATTATTCAGATTTGTTTTTAGTTTTATTGGTTAGATACAAACTATGAAATCTGAAAATATTTACGAACCCAAAAAATGACGATGCTTTGGAGGTATAAAAATATGAGGTTAATTATGAACATCACTTTTCAATTTCATGAATACCAGTTTAATAAATTTAGTTGTCCACCTAGCAACCTAGTTGTTTGGTGGGTAATCCTGCACTCAGAATTTAGAACACTGAACACCATCTTTTACTTAATAACAAAACATGCTTTATAAAGTTATTTTTTTCTTTTTGATGTAATAAAATATACTACCGGTGGATCACTATGATTGAGACATGAGGAAGTGGCACAAGTATTAAAGATATGAAATCACATGGTAGGTATTGAATTGATAAAATATGAATGAAGTATATGGATTAGAATTTAGAACTACACAAATCTTACTTAATATAGTATGAGACAAACTTAATGGGATGGAAGGTGTAATGTTGTAATTCAAAACGTTTCGTACTCCTCAATTAAAATTCTTCATTTAAAATATTCCTCCTTGATTAAAATTATTGTATCCATACTGGTGCATAAAATTGATGTATGTATGAAGGTAGATGTGTAAAATGAGAAATTAATGTCCTATATTTAGTACCAGTCATTTTTAGTGATGGTGTGAGCCTTCATAATCCTAATTTTGGTCGTGTGTTGTAGTTCTGTAGATATGATGTGAGAGTTTCTTCAAATTAGTATGTTTTAATTACCACATGCACCAGTTTGAGTGTATTTATTAATCCAGGAGTTTAAAGAGGACAAGTGAAAATGGATTATACTTCGAGGCAAGAAGCGGTTTTTGAGTTACCAGGAGAGCCTGCTATTGTTGTTAATGGATTACCTCCCCTCCCCCCAGATTGTGTAAACCTTGTTCCCTGTTCTGCCATAACTGATACAGTAGAATTGCATAGATATGAAGGTTGTTTCAGTCAATGGCTGGAGGGTAGAGAAGTTCAAAAGCTGTTCGGGGACCAACTTTACATCGGAAAAGTTGCCAAATACGATGAGGACACTCATTGGTATAAGGTGGTCTATGAAGATGGCGATTCGGAAGATCTTGAATGGAATGAATTAAAAGATATTCTTCTTCCCTTGGATATAAATATTCCATTAAAGACGCTGACAATGAGTATCATGAAGAAGACAAACTTGGATTTAATGTATAATATTCCATTAAAGACGACTCAGCCAGCAACAACGAATATCACGAAGAAGACACATAGTAAACTTCTTCAGAAGACCACAAAAACTCAGCAGTCTCAAGCCAGATATGATTATGGTACAACAGTTGAGGAAGGCATTGATCAGAGAAGCGGATGAAAGTGGTCAGTTTACCAATGCTTGGCTGGTGGTGTATTCAATGCCGAGTATGATCATCTTCTTCAGAAACAATTACTACTAATATTTTTAGTACAAATCAGGCACTTAGAATTCTTTAACTTCCTGTGGCCAATGTTTCGTTTTACTAACTCCTCTGCAACTGAAAGAAACAAAATGGTTTTTGGGTTTTCTTTGAATTTGTTTTCCAGCAGAATTTTATGTATGTCAACTTCAAACCCACTTGGGCATCCTATTTACTTGCATAATTGCCATATTTGTATGAACTACTCCTCAGTAAAGTGGATTTTATTGCCAATGGTTGTAGACATTTGTGAACACAATGATCCTGTGATTCCTGTCCAAGAAATTATTTTCATACTGTCAAAGTCTTGTAATGACGTTTCTACTTTCAGTTTTGGTCTGTTTCTACAAGAAACACTTTCTGGTAAAGATTAGGTATCCCCACCTACCATCAATTGCTTCCAACCACATATCAATATCACAAAGGCAATCTTGGAAATAACAAAGAACAAAAATGATTCATTGAAAATTTGGCGAAGTCGAACCACATAAAATTGTTACCGATGTGTAATACAGGGACTCTTTCAAAAGCATAAACAAATAACTGTTATAATGCTAATTTTTAGAAATGAACACGTGTTTATCAAATGCCAAATTGGGTTAAGTATATAAATGGGATCATTAAAAATATTATCATTAAATATAGAATATTTAGGATTTTTATGTCTCCAGTTCCAGTTTTGTACCATCCTGGAATGACTGAAGTAACTCTTCAAAAGAGGGAGTTCTCAGGTTTTCTATGAATTCTTTGCTAGGCAGGTTGAATTTTATTCTTCTTGGAGTTGAATCCAAATGCTCATCCACCTGGTTGTTAATAAAAGAGATAATCATTTGAAACGTGTTTCTTTCATTCCAGCAACAATGTGAAACATAAAGCATAAAGTATTGAAACTTGAACTGGAAAATCAAATGGATTAGGAAATTTTGTTATTCAATTTTTCAGAGTTAGTTTACATCTCATGTTCAAATAACGTTTGATATTAATTATTAAGAACAAAACAACTGAATTAGCTTACTTTAGATTTATGTCGCGTTCATGAAAGCAAAAGTGATCAAATTATTGCTTTAAACAAATAATAAGAAAAGGTCAATGTTTCAGGATGTCCGATCTATAAAAATAGAATGATCATTTTTATTGCTGAAATTGTGTTCGATAAATAGTTACCAGATTTTGTTACATTAAATGATGTCAACTAGTCGATTTAAGTATAAAGCCTAGGTGGCTGCGTGGCACTAAAAATTAAGGCACAAGTACCCTATTTCTTACTTTGTTCTTAAAAAACATGTTTGATCAGTATTAAACTTTTTTTTTGAATTTCATACGAATAACATGTATATACCTATTAAACTTTACATATTAATAATATTCTGCTCTTGGTTTACAATATTACATTAAAAATCAATAATTTGAGTCCTGCTAACATTTCAAAACACGTTTTGTGGTCTACTAGCATTCAGGTTAAAAAAACTCTTAATTTATGAGTTATGTTCTTTATTCTAACAATATTCAAAGTTTTTTAGCATAACAATATTCAAAGCTTGTCTAAAAATAATAACCTAAGCTTATGCTGTTATGCATACCAGCTAGTGCACTTTGTCACTAAAATACAAAAAAAATCTTTGAATAAGTTTTTGTTCATAAAGTACAGATCCTCAACAAGCTTTTATTATGTTTTGGTGTCACGAATTCCTATTTTTAGAACATTTATATCGCGAAGTACTAAGTTACTCTTTGTTCTCATAAGTCATAAATGTGAACATATACTGTAAATAAATTCAGACTGTTTTCTTGTATGCTGTAAATGCCAAAAAAGAACAAAGGAGTAATGCATAAATTGATTGTTTTCTTACATTTCTCCCTGGCTACACTATACCTTCCAATGTTCCGTTATTCTTTCTATTTTTCATAGGTTCGGGTGACAGAGGGCAGTTTTAGTGATTCATTATAGTGTGCTTATTTCTTAATGAAGAAATATTAAACATCAGATAAGTAATAAGTGAATGTCCGAACGAAGTTATTGATGTGTTTACCTTGTAATCGTCTGTCAAAATCTTTTCTGTATTTAGTGCAATCTCAGATATTTTGTGCGAATGAGTCATTTCCATTCCATTCATATCAGCTATACATGGATCGATGCATGTTTTGATCTTTTGGATCCCTCCACTATCCATTTCTTGCAAATCTGAAATAGAGTATTTCTTTATTATTATCAGAAGACATCATAATGCTGTTTAAATAATGCAACTTCAAAATTTAGCACATACATTCCGTGGTAGAGAGAACGTTCTTCATAGCAAGATCAGTTTCTTCAAGTATGGTAGAAGCACAAGCAGAAAGTTGAGCATTGACCTTTTCATGCTTTCCTATTCCACTCCTAAGTTATGAAACAAGTATGAGCAAACAGATCCTAATAGATTATTCTTTTATGTGCTGTTCCTTTCCTTGGGGAATAATAACTTACTTAATAATGGAGTCTATGGAGTTGGTATTTGTAGTGTGTTGTATAATAAGTGACTCTTGAGCCTTCCTCCATTGTTCTGCAACTGCATTGGAGATTCTCATACTGCATGTTTACCAATAGAGTGACTAAATTCTTTTTTCATGGTTTCAGATAAATTGGTATTTGCAACTTTATATCATCAGGATAAAGATTTACCACCCTCTAAGGCTCTCTTCAAAGCCCCCTCTCCAGGTTTCTAATATAGTACTATCCTCTTTGTGATGAACCTTTGTTCCCTCAACGAAGCTTGTCCATTCTTCTTGAGTAGAACAACTGCAGTCATGGATGTTTGAAAGTTCCTTGTTTAGATGTCTGGTTTTATTATTAGCACACCTTTGAAGAGCATCAAGCTCTGTTTGAACCTATTATTCAAACGAGAAACAGAAATGAGATTGCACATAACAATGAAAGGAAACTCCCTCTGTTTCACATTAACTGATGTTTAGCATCTGATTGGAACCTGGAACAAGGTAAAGGAAAAAGGCCAACTAAAGTTATATATTTCGGTGTTGGGTTTTACCTTTTGAAAATGCAATGGAAAATGATTTTTTTGTTAAGTACTTAGGTTTACATATTAGGTTTTCTTACTCTTCAGAAATGAAAATGAGTTCAACAAATATCTAAAGAAACATTATTGAGGTTTTGCCTATCTTTTACTCCCCCCCCCAACTATTTCTTTCCTTTGCGTCTTTCTTCATATCACAATCGCCTAGTATCTTCCAGTATCCAAATAGACCTCGAGGGAAAAGGTCTAGAATCTTGCAAGAAACTAGTATATTACCTAAATTATGTTAATTAAAAAAATGTTCAATCAGAATGACATCTATTATGAAACTTAGGGAGTAACATATATGGGTAAAGTAGCAATTGAAAATGGAAGGGAGTACACACAAGCTGTTTCTTCCGAGCATGGGAAGTTGCTAGCAGAGACGCGACCTTTTCTAAAATTTCTCTTTCTTCGTTTGCAGCCAGTTCCTATCAGGGATTCAAAAGATACGAAAATGTTTATCAAGATAGAAGCTAGTTATTCATTTAGGCACATAGTTACCTCAAACTTCCTTCCAAGGGCACAGATTTGCTGGTTATTCTTTCTGTTTGATTCTTCCTCCATGTGCGCCAATTTGGAAACAAATGTCTTTAAATCCTTGAAGAAGCTTTCAAGAACTTCAGAAATTATTTTAGTGGCTTGGTATGTTTGTGATTGGTTCTATTACACATGATAACACAAAGCAGGGAAGAAGCAGAAGAAGAAAACACGATGAGTTCCAATTTTCAGTAGCAATAACACAAAAGACCAAGGTTTTAGTGATGATTCTTCCTCCATTCCTATATACGAAGTATGTACCTGTTGTTCCTGTTGTAGAAATGCTTTCATCTTTAACTCAAGACCATTAAAGTTGTTCTCTAGACCATTAAGTACAGAACCAATGTCTGAGGAAATCTTCTCAACAAGCTGCACTAAATATGGATGATTCAGAAGCTGCAGTTTGGTGGAAAAACATCACGTAAAACAGATCTGAAACTCACTTCCATTGTTGAAGATGAACATTTTGATACTTCTGAATTTAATTTCCCAAAGGTGGCATGAAAATTTTCACTTTGTTCTTCTGCTATGCCAGCCAAATTTTGGACATCAGACATGTACATATCTTTTAGCTCCTTGAGCAGATTCTGTAGACCTTCCGTTGCCTATCCTTAGATACAGGTATGCAATCATGAGTTTGAATCTTAATTTGAAATTTAAAAACACAGTTGTTGGTTCTTTACTTCTTTATTCAACCCTCGTAGGTTCTTTATTTAACCTTGTTGAAGAGTTTCTTCCAAATCGGCTAAATGAAATGATGAAACCACATTTCAGATTTTGGGGTACTCTTCCTAACACGATCCATAGTCATGATGTTAGCCCCTCTAGAAAAAGAGAAAATATATGGTCCAGACGAGATGTCAGAACGTAGGGGTATGTGCCCTTGTAAAAAATGGTATTTTTGTTATAAATTACTTTATAAGAACGAGGTGTTTTCCTGTCGGGTCTTGATTTAAAATTTATCTCATCATCATCATTATCCCAGTGCCGCAAAGGCTCCCACCTACGGTGGGATAAGGGGCGGTCGGATGTACGCAGCCTTACCCCTGTTCAAAAGTACAGGGAGACGGTTTCCAGATGACCCATGGTAAAATCGCATTCAAAAATTGCATGAATTGACTTTTGCGTCATAACAACGAAGCGCACACAGTTTAGTGAGCCATTTTGCTCTATTCCATCATATTCTCAAGCCAAAAAAATAGTGAATCTTTGGCTCCATTTCGAATGATGGAAACAAAATTGAAACAACGAATCAACGTATAAGATATTGAGTTCCTCCTCCAAAGTTTAGGACCTTAAACAAACCTTGGACTTTGCAGATAAAAAAAGTTTTGTGTTCTCTTGTACAACTTTCAGTTGTTGTGCTTGTTGTGATGCAGTAGTTGCTACATTCGTATTTAGAAGTTCAAGTTGTTCTGCTATTTGGTTCTTGAAGTTCTGGAGAATAAGTTGGTTATTTTCCTCTCTAAGGTTATTATTATCTGTTGACAAAATAAAAAAAAGTTATTATAAATAATTGGACGAGATTCCTAAAAGTCAAGCTTTGAAACAAAATGCTCACCTATTTTCCTACATAATATGGAAACCGCTGATTCTGCATTCTCTAGCTCTGCTCGAAGCTCGATTGCTTTATCAGTAAGTGCCTTTTCTATATATAAAAGTTGGGAATAAAATGTTCAAAGGTCTTAAATGGTAATGTGCTTCTGTAAATTACAAACTAGTATTCATACCAGATGTGATGAGATAATATATTAAGTATTGCTTCTGTCGAACCATTTCTTTTGCTTGACTGTATTGAGCTTCTAGTTCACATAAGGATTCCTCAGTGTTCTTGAGTTCTCTCTGCCATTGGAAGCACAAGAAAAGGTAATGCGACTTTTTCGTATGGATGCAACCCAGTTGGGAAAGAGCTGCTGCTCAATTGACATTCTTTTACCTTGGCCTGTGCAATTTTTTCAACTAAATCTGCTGTCAACTTTTTCTGGTTATTGTATAAATCTTCAAGTTCTGCAATTCTCTGTTTCCGAATGTCAGTTATATTAACCAGGGCATGATCAGAAGCATTTGTTTGGGTAGAGGATTTTGGAGAGAGATAGGATAGAAATCAAAGAAGTTTACTATGTTTGGTTGGAGGAGTTGGGGGAGGAGCTAAAAGAACTCCAATAAATACCACTCCACCCCAATGGGAAGTTGCTTTCCCCCTTGACATGTATTCCTTTTTTTATACCCAAACACTTTTACATTATTATTGTTACACTTGTGAAGTATTACTCATTACGTCTTGAAATGTAGTTCATGTTGACGTGCTTATTAGGAAAGGTTATGGTTGAGATTTGAGTTTATTTCTTTCCTTAAAATAATATAAGGAAATTATTTTGGAAAGACTTAAAAAAGGAAATGGAAAATATATTTCAAGTTGGAGGGATTATATTTTTATTTACAGAAAAATCATACGGAGTATCAAATACTCCGTACTACATTCTACATATTTCCCTAAATACCAATTCCTCTCCTCTCATCCATTGAACAAAACATAAATGAGTGACACTTACCTTGTTTTTCTGCTCGATATCAAGTTCCATGAGCTTCTGTTTTTCAGCCAGTTCCTACAAAACGAAAAGTAAGTGGCTTATCTCTCTCTTCTGTATTTGGAAGACTTTAAATGAAGTACTTCCATCATTTACCTATGTTCCATTCCTATCAGGGAAGACTACATTGTTTTTATTTTATTTTAAATATCAATGGCTGGAGTGGAATTAGTACCTTTTGGGCAGCCTCATCAAGCTGGAATAGCTCTTGGGGAATGTATATTCCATTCTTTTGGTTAACCTGAGGATGGAATATATATTTTGCTCTTGAAAGACTAAAAGATACTGGGAAGAGAACAGTAAGAAAATCTCTTCTTAACATAATGCTGCTGCTTTATTAACCTCTGGTCTGTTTTTGATGTTCTTGGCGCGAAATGCATAGTCTAGAGTACTGAGAGTCTCATCCAGGCATTCAAGAGAGGGAGAAACAGTGGCAATTATGCAGGTTTTTGTCTTTCCTCCCAATGAGTCCCTCAATAGCCTTGTCAATTTGCTATCCCTAAAACCCCATATACATACATATTTTCCTCAAATTATACCTTTCCCATACTTCCCTCAATTTTATAATAATATTAGTAATAGTGATGATAACAACAACAACATGTTTACCTGTAAGGAACATGGCCGGAGTGATCAGCCAAAGCATTGATGACTCGTCCTAGTGTAAGTAAGCTCTTGTTTATCTCTCCCGCTTCCCTTGCTCTTCCCTAAGCGCGCAAATGAAGATATCAGTTCTCATTTCAACGGTTATTGGCTAAATTTGCAAAAAATGGTGTGCCCCTTTTGTGAACTTGTAGGAGGCTAGATTTGCTTATTTTTAGCTCGGAAAGTTGAATGAGGTTTAACCTTAGGGGCGTTTGGTGGTGATGAAATTACTTTGCATAGAATAGCTTATTGTTTTATAGGCATAGATGTGCAACCTTTTTAAAATTGCATGCAAAGTTTGGCTGGACTGCCAATTCACTATTCACGTCCTCACGTGGTAAACATAAGAATTAATTACATATTTATGACTAAAATAAAGATTGTTTACAAAAATGTGACTAATGACTAGAGTAGTAATGAATTAATAGTAACTTATGTTCAATTTTTAAACTTAAGTTACCATGACACTACATTGTAGTAACTAGTAACTATTAGTCATGTTTGTGTAAACGAGTTTTATTTTAGTAGTATATTTGAAAAAACCCTAAACATAATTACTTTTTTATCTTTGATTTTGTAGTATCAATCATTTTATTAAATGATAGAGACCTCTAACTATTCAGAGATTACAGAAGCTAATATCAAGAAACAAGAGAAATCTTTATTGAAGGAGATGATGAACAGTAACAAGTACAAAGGCCGAAGCCCCCAAACTGAGCCGAAGCCCCCCAAAGAAAGAGCAAACACTCGATCTTCCCAGTCCCAAGACTAAACAGTCCAAAAGCCTCCCAATTACTCCCACTTTACATCTATTTATACTAGAGACCCTTATTACTAATATTATTATTATTACTTCTAATATTATTCTAATAGGTAGGTCCCTATCAATACTCCCCCCCTAAACATCCACCTTGTCCTCAAGGTGGGTAATAGGAGAAAGCCAAAATCTTCTGCTTCCTCTTCCTCTTCCTTGTTCCTCTCCCTTCCCAATATCTTTCAAATTTCAGGATCCTGAACTTCAGGACTTGAATCTTCTTTCTCACTGCTTCCAGCAACAACAGCAATAGTTCCTCTCCCTTCCAATCATCAATATTAGTCCTGTGTCTTTGATCATGCTGGTACTGATCTTCACCCATCCTCCCTTGCTTATTCTTCCTTTTGCTAATAGCAGGATATAACTCAAATCTTTGAGATTCAGTTGCTTCACTCCTTGAAATTGCAGCATCTATAGTAGCCAACTGAAACCGGTAGTCAGCCATTCCACCCCCATCTGGAGCAATTAAACAGACCCCTGGCATTCCTCTAATCTTTGCCATTTCACTCTCAGTCAATCCTACTCCCAACCCTTTTTTGATAAAACAACTCAGAGATGAAACTCTTGAGATACATTGATCACTGCCCACCATCACATAGCAATATCCACCATTATGGTATGCATTCTTACCATTCCAACCACCTGAGTAATAATAAGTAGCCTTTCCTTTTCGAAAATGGGACCAAGAACTCAAGCCAGAAGACAAAGCATTTGGATTCGATATCAAAACATCATAGGTAACAATGTCATTTGGTTCAGTCTTCTTCCAGCCTTTCAAAGCAGGAATTAATTCTTTACTATTCTGCAGCTCCTTGTTTCTATCTTCTGAGATTAGTACTGTATTGGATGCAAACTCCTTTTTGTACCTATCAACTTCTTCCTCTTTTAATTCTTTACCTACCTCCTTTGAAAAGGAAGGTCTACAAGGCTTTAACCTGCAAGTTAACAGATATACTCTTCCAGCTGCAATTCTCTTAACTAAGGAACAAGAAAGGTTATTTTCCAAGTAAAATTTCCATGGTTGATGTCCTAGCAAGAATTCAGATCTATCACCCAACCAAGACATGGCCATTTCCAAATTAAGTATTAATTTCACCTTCCCTTTGGTTTCAATATTTTGTTCCATCAACTTTCCCAATGTCTTCTCGTTTAAGAATTCTGCTATTCTGATCCCTCCAGATGAAGCCTCAAAATTACACCCTCCCCTGACATCTATCTTTTTCACTTGGTGTGTCATGTCTTCTAGTCCAAGAGTAAGACTTACTTCTTCAATCAAAACATCCTTTGGAGATAAGTTCAAAGCTGGTTCCACATTTTCCATTCCTTCTGAATCTTTTTGTGGATTGAGACAAGCTGATGCCAGTTTGACAGGAACAATTCCGGATTGCGATATGGAAACTTCACATCTGGATTTCTTCTTAAATAAACTGGTAGAAGCTATTGAAGCCTGCGAACTGAAGGTTGATGTTTGTGATGACTTTTGCGAACTAAAGGAAGTTCTTCTTGATCTCGAGGACTCCTGTTTTGCTGTCATCCCTGTCTTCTGCCGGTGTCTAGGTGGAAAATCCTTGATAAGGTCTTCCTTTAGAGCCTCCCAACTATCTTCCCTCTTTTGATACTCCCACCACCATTTAAACCAACCACATGCGGCTTCCCCCATAGCCTCTTCTGCCACGTCCAGTTTGAATTTTTCTTCAATAGCTTGAACTCGGAAATATTTTTCCATCTTCTCTGTCCATTCGTAGGCTTCATTCTCATAGAATAGCGGTAATTCCTCTTTCTTTGAACTAGCTGACTTCCGAGAATTGACTTTAGACGAATATGGCGCACTCTGATGCGAAGAGCGATGGTAAGAGTGATAATCAGAACTCTGCGAAGAGAGAGAAGAGCGAGAAGAGCGATGCGAAGAATCAGTTCGCAAATCTGTCTGCGATCGCGGATGAGGCTTACTGTTCCTCGTTCTGTCGCCAGGTTGTCTGCGATGCCTCCGCTCTTCCAATTCCTCTGGACTCCCTGACTTTCGCGTGTGGCCATGATTAGAGTCGCGATGCGACCTACGCGAAGTGTGCGATCGATTCTGCAAACAATTTTGAAGTCGGTTCTGCAAATCTGCGAAGCAAGCTTGCATCGCCGCTTCCATCGCGGCTATATTTGTCGCCATATTAACTTGCATCTCCTTGGTCTTTCGATTCAGATTTTCAATTCTTTCTTCCATTTGTGGCGTCACGTAGAATTCCTCCGCCATGGTTCAGATGATTCAGATTCTCGGTCTCCAGGAAATAACGGCTCTGATACCAATGATAGAGACCTCTAACTATTCAGAGATTACAGAAGCTAATATCAAGAAACAAGAGAAATCTTTATTGAAGGAGATGATGAACAGTAACAAGTACAAAGGCCGAAGCCCCCAAACTGAGCCGAAGCCCCCCAAAGAAAGAGCAAACACTCGATCTTCCCAGTCCCAAGACTAAACAGTCCAAAAGCCTCCCAATTACTCCCACTTTACATCTATTTATACTAGAGACCCTTATTACTAATATTATTATTATTACTTCTAATATTATTCTAATAGGTAGGTCCCTATCATTAAATTCATACGTTTTTTACGATTCAATATAACATTTTATATGGATTCTAAATATCTAAATTTCAAATAATGATAGTAATAATAATTTAAACAGAAATAGGAGTATGTTTCCCCCCTAAATAAGTGCAAAAGAAATGCGAAATTCAAAATAGTAGCACTATGTTTCCCTCCTAAATAGGAGTAATTATTGCCATGGATGGAATTATGGCAATAATACTGCCAAATTATTGGCAATTCCAAAACATGACAATACGATTTTAACTTCTGTTTCAGAAAAAACATGGTACTCCTATTTTTGAATTTTACATCGTTTTTACTCATATTTCAGAAAAGTTTTCTAATTTAAATGTTATCAGGGAGAATTAACTTTAATAATGTAAACTGTAACTTGCAATGTCTATCGGAACTTGCAAGACAGTACCTCTTTGGCACCAGATCTCAAAATGTTCTCAGATCCTGCAAGATCAACAAGGTTTAGTTTCCCACATTTGATCACTTCCGTCCCATGTGACGAACATTCCTTGATTTGCACTGTGATGGAGAATATAGAATGTGATCGGTTGCTTTGTTTGTTTAAAAGGGTTTCTGCAGTGTGCTTCTTTGCCGAGCCACACTCTAGAATTTTATATATTTCATCTGCACTTGACACTATCTCCTCTTGAAGGCCTCTGATGAAAACAGCACTCTTTCCATCTTCCATCAGTTTTACTGCTGTCTTTGAATCTTCTTCTTGGGTGGAGAGTAGATCTGTTATTTCTTCATTGTAAATCTCTATGAATGTCACCCTCATCATGTACTCAGCCTTTTTGGACTCCACAGTGTTGAAAATCTGCTCAACTGCTCTTGGGATCACCCCAGCATTCTTCTTAAGCTCTCCATTCTAATGACATTAAAGAAATGAAGTAAACTATTCTAAGGCCAAGTTTGGTATTGATGTGTTGTGGCTTTTTAAGCTACAATGCTTTGTCCTCCTAAAGTTCACTTGGCATAAAAGTGTAGTAGGTCAAAAGCCACTATTACATATAAAGCAACTTCAAAACAATAGTTGTCATGGCATCGTCTAGGCATCGACTAAGCGATGCTTAGGCATCCAGAAAAATAGAAAATAAAAAACACTAGCCATGGGAGGTCTCCTTTCCTAAAGAGAGAGAGAGACATTGGATGATGTCACTCAATTAGGTAAGAAGATCCTAAAGACAAATGATGTTCTGGCTCGTCGCTGCCTACTAAGTTTGCATTTTTCCCCTTCCTTTTCTTCTTCTTTTTATTCATTTTCACTGTTCTTCGTTTTCATTATTTTTTTTGTAATTAATTTTTTGTAATGTTTTCTTTTCATTTCTTTAGGTGGTAGTCATATGAATCACCATTTTTTTCATAGTATGCCCACGTAAAACATGTTTACACTCACAACACTTTGCATTATTTCATAACACTAATGCCAAATTTGTCCTAATCAAAACAAAAATATAAAACTGAACATAAATGCCAAACCTCTTCCTTCCCGCCTTCACCTTCCATTGTAAATGTTTTACCAGTCCCGGTTTGGCCATAGGCGAAGACTGTGCAAGTATATCCTTCAAGGGCATCATCAACAAGAGGTGCAATGGCTTGATTGTACAAGTCCTTCTGATGAGTTGAGGGACCAAATACCTAAAATCGAATAGGAAATACGGAGTACGTATTAGTATTATTTCACATTTGATAGAATCATGGGTAAGAAGATGAGGCATAACATCTTTAAGGAAATAAAAAAGTCTAACCTTGTCAAAGACAAAAGTACGATTTGTATGTTTAGTAGTTGTATTTAGGATTGCGGACACCTCATGTTGCTGTTCATCACATGATATCACTAGGGGAGCTTTTGCCCTCACTTCATCCTCATTTTGTGGTCTGAAGCATATACAAATATACACATACATAAAACATATGGTATCAAAATATGTTATGGAGGTTGCAGGTGGGGCGCAGTCAGGGTCAATTTTTTTTAGAATGAAGACATCATTTAGTATCGGTTAACAAGAGAATATTTTACTCGATTTTCTCTCTCTGAAATATTACTTTAATACTTCATGGAACTTCATTGTCACCGCATTGTGATCACTTAATGGAACTTCATGGAACAAGATATCATGATCACTTAATTATAAAAAGTCATATTTTTATCCACGTAGTCATACGTCGATAATTGTTCCATGAATGGCGTTATTGTTATAAAGTATTTTTTTAATCTCATTAGAGTGTTTCTGAATAAATATGATAAAGTGGCAGTGGAAGTAAGATATTGCTTAGGAAACTGGAAAGAAAATTATATTCGTGTGACTGATTTTAAAACATAAAAATATAAAGAAAAATGAAAGATGGCCATAATTTAAATTTCTTTAACGTATGTTTAGATTAGCATTCTTTGTAATCCGTATAATAGCAACACATAAATGGAGTGAGTTTGAACAACTATACTTAAACTTCCTCTGTTTCTTTCCCTAGCTTTCAAGCAGACCCTTAGACTTTCTGAAATTTGCTGTATTTTTCATCTATATTGCCATATTAGTTTTTATTTCCACATGTTATTTTTCTGAAAACAAATGATGCAAGTATGATAGCTAGATTATTTTTTTCCTTTGGGTATATATAAAACTTCTTTGTTGACAGAAAGCATTCCCCATTGCTTGATAATGCATGAAAGTTAATTACTCCGTATATTCATTGCTGATGCTTAATATCACAAAAGGACCTTCTCTTAAAACATATACAAATAATTTCTAGGAAAATGACAATCAGCTCAATACCTGCAACGCAGCACAACTTTCACATTCACAGATTTATCATCGGTCACCCCCGGATCTCTTGAAGGCTTTTCGCCTGACCATAGAGTCGGGGACATCCACGGAAGAGTTGTCAAACTACTCCCTCTCCTCTGGTTATTCAATGTTGAACTATCCATCAAAGGCTGTTACTCCTATTCAAAAATATGGGAAAGTTAAAGAATCACTACAGAACAATATTAATACTCTTCTTAGCTCAGTCAGTTCTGCAAAAGCTACCAATGCATGAAAATGTTTTCTTGGTTTTCATTTATTTATGATTATGATACATGTAATTATACTTGCAACATGCTGAATTACTGATGATGAAACTTCCTCCTATGATACATTGAAACGCAAAAAAAAAAATTGAGGAAATTTATGACTGTTACAAACCATTACTAGTTTCAATTACTTTTGAGCATTTATGTATTTTTCTCTGAGTAATTAGGCGTTAGGAAAAAGTCATTGAACTTAATTAATTGATGACACTAGCAAAGGGATGTTTCATATTAGTATGTTACAAAAAGAAAAAAAAACTATTCCGTATATAAGATCGAAAAATAGTGTGCATGACATTATTTTTTTACACAGGATGATAATTACCATATGAAGTATTTTGTTCAAATCGTTTTAAACTGGAAAACTTTTTATGATAAAAAAACTGGAAAACTTTTTTATTTAAATACAATGTTTAAATAAAATGCTAGGCTTATTTATACATTTTTATTTAAATACAATATTTAATTGGTAATTATTTAAATACAATATTGGAAAAACGCTAGGCTTATGACATGGGCACATGAGAC